TAAATATATATATATATCTGAAGCGAACAAATGGTTTATTGTTTCCTGTTGATTTAACATGTAAAAGGAGAAAGGAAAAAAAAATTAAAGCTATCAAAACCGTGAATATGTCTAGTTTGCTCAGGGTTCATTATGTAGCGCAGAAGCCTTAGGAAGGAGGTTGTTTCAAGAGGAAGTGACGAGACAACCCTCAGCCAGAGAGACTTTTGATTCCTGCGCTGAGCAGAGGGTCGGAGCCGATGGTCTTCTAGGTCTTCCCTTTCCATTCCGTCCGTCTAGGATTCTGCGGACAGAGGGAGAAAGTTGGTGAAAGAAAGGAAACAGTGTGCGCATGCACATGTGTGAGCATGCGCATGAGTGTGCGTACATGAGGAAGGCGCGACAGAGGGCGGGTGCTGAGCTTCCTCCTCGGCTTCAACATCTGGAGTGCTATCCAGCTGTGGAGCCCACCTGTGATGCTCTCGAACAGGTGTGCTCAAAGACTGGGCATGCTCTTCCCACTGCCCGTGAGAACGACAGCTGAAGCAGAGCTCCTTCCTGGATCTGAGTCGCATCTCGTGGCGATAGGGTTAGAAAGGGAGGGTCGTTTGTTATGCTGCATTCAGAGCATTTCTATCACACCAATGACTGAAACAAAAAACTGCCCCCCTGGTTTGTGGGTTCCCCCCCCCCAACCCTCCTTCTTCTACATTGTATTCCATGATGGATCCCTTGGTAAGGTAGTCTGGGAGACTTTACTAGATAAGGAACAGGGAAGAAGATATGGTTGAAATAAATCAGTCTTTATTCATTTCGGTCAGAGTCTCCCGGTGGCAAATCCATCCGTCACAGGCTCCCTTTTGGCATTCAGAATGGCTCAGCCCACCCTTGATTTGCCTCCAACGTTTGCCCAACCAGGAAATCTCTTTCGTATATTGCCCTGTCCCTAAAAGTAGAATATTTGCCATATATATTGGATTCTCCCACTTTCCTCTCCCTTAGTAGGTGGTCAGGTCATGCCTACTTGCAAGATGGCGTCCCAACCTGGCCCCCAAATATCGCGGCCCCCTCCCAGCGCCCCAACGGCGAGACCCGTCCCTCCCCATTGGAGCTGCCTGTGAGTTTGGAGAGGTCCTTTTTCTCGTACATGCATGAGTCAAAAACAACTGAACAGTTTTATCGGGATGAAGCTTCTGTGTGCTGTAGACCCGCATGGAGTAGCTGTCTGAAAATCTCAAATAAAACATGTTGACTCTTCCAAACAGTACAGCGTTCTCTTAATATTTCCGACGCAACATCTCTACCGAGAAAGTAGCAAGGAGCCCCCTCCTGCTTCTGCAATTTTAAAAAAGCAAGAAAGACACTTCGGGAGAAGAGATTGTTAATACCCGCAGATTTTTGTAATTTGCATCTATATCTAGCTTGTCCTCGGTCTGCAAAGAGCATGTTGATCAGATTCATCATTTAAAAAAACAAAAAGCAGTGAGTGGTTAAGAAAAAGTAACGTAACATGCAGGAGGGACTAATTAGCGCAAGGCGAGCCCGAAATATTCAGGAACACGGAGTTGTGTAGTTGGTTGTGGACTTCTTCAGATGCTACATCCTTGCACGCCCACGGTACTAAAGTTGAAAAAAGTAACATGCAGGAGGGACTAATTAGCGCAAGGCGAGCCCGAAATATTCAGGAACACGGAGTTGTGTAGTTGGTTGTGGACTTCTTCAGATGCTACATCCTTGCACGCCCACCGCTCGGTACTAAACCAGAAGAGGCTAAGCTATATACCTTGCCAAATGGATAAATTACTGAAGAGTGTCTCCCATCAGGGCAAGATTCTGGCTGGACCCTCTGGAAGTCCCTTAATAATAGACTTGGAAGCAGAGTAGGAAGATCGAAGAATCATTAAGTAAAATGGGATGGCTTGGATGCAGGGCATATTTTCTGTGACTGCGGAGGAATTCAATCCATGCTGCATTGATGGGCATTCAATTTATGCCCTACCAGGCATACAAAAGAAGCTCACACGGCTGAGGTAACATCATTGAAGGTGCCCACTCCAACCCCGTGCCCTACTGCAAGAAGATTTGTTTCTATGCTCCTGGCAGAAACTAGCTGGCAATTTCTGTCCGGGGGGGAGGAAAAGCCGTTTTAATGCAGGGATTAGAAATTTAGTTTAGGAGTTTATCTCAATTCGGGATTGATCAGAAGGGAAGTTAGGCTGGGATTTCGGGGTTTAACTGCACTGTAAATACAACCTCTGCCTCTGTATGGGTAATGTCCCATGTTGAAACATTTATGGGGAAGGAACGGTAAGAAGTGGGCAGCCACCGATAGGGTGGGAAATCTTCCCTATTCGTGAACCATTAAAGATTAACACGTTCACGTCGAAGGGGGATTTCCTGCCAAAGATGGATGCAACTGAAACTGCAAGGGGACAAATCCCTTTTCTTCCCCATCCCAAAAGTATGAAAGATGCCTTAAGGTATTCCTGATGCTGGTTTCCTCCAAACTTGTGAGCCGTTTTTTGGAGAGCGGGATGTGAGAAGCCCCCTTTTTGAAATGTTGCCGTATTCCTCAAATGCTGTCTTGCTGATGGTGAAAAAAAAATTCCTTTAAGGAAATAACACCTAATGGGTATCTCTCCCCAACCCCCATTTTACGATGGTTTCGCCCTAGGGAAAAAAAAAAGAGGGAACTTTTTAAACATAATTTGAAAAAGAAAAAAAATCTTGCTGTGCTGACCAATAACAGCTTTCCTAATAGAAAATGTTGAAGAAAAGAGAGATGGCGACAAAGGACTTTTTGTTTTT